TCCATTGATGTACACAGTCTGTGCATCAATTAGAGAGAATTTACTATATTCTGGTATCCAAACGTTCTATTATATCTAATCATTATATGATTTAGACACCTTATTGTCTAGAAAAGAACTTGAACGAAATTTTTAGATAATAGAACGTTTTGGTATCGGAATATTACGAAAATAAACCTGTAGATATGATTTCATTCATTAATTGATACGGAGTCCATTTGACAATTAAGCCGCTATCATTTATACGGTGTCAACTTGATGTCACACATTTCCACCTATGATATTAAAAACAGCGAGGTTAAAACAAACTCCACGAAACTACACACTGCCCATTTTGTCTAACAACCTGACATTCAATTCGATGCCATAATTCAGATGTCAGCGAAGTAAAAAGTCATTTGTCGAAGAACTCGACAGCTCCGATAAAAACAGTCTGGTTCTATTTCTCGATGCACAGGATTCCAATTACTCGACGTACCAACGTATGTTTGCGACGATGAATGAGGCAAGACCTAGCGTTTTCACGAAGACCAACGACGAAGGGGTCGAGCGAGTCCTGAAAAAACGTGATTATGCGTTCCTTATGGAATCCACCACGATCGAGTACAGAATGGAACGTAACTGCGAGCTGGACAAGGTCGGAGGACTGATCGATAACAAAGGATACGGGATCGCTTTGCCGCGAAGTAGGTTCAAAGGACTTGTTGTCAGTTGCCATAAATTCGATTTAATAATCGCGGCTAAAGCAATTGCAATTTACGCAGAAATAATGATACTTATTGGAACACGCGACCACGTTGCACCGCGTAACGAAATTATCGACGGATATTGAAACGCCATAACAAACGCCAATTAACGCTCGACGTAATGTTCGTAATTGTGGTCGACTCGTATATTATTTGATGATCTAATGTATAGGCGTGTCGCTTTCTGGTAATCGATAGCTTCTACGGTCCCGCGTAGTAGTAATTGTCGGAATCGTTAACAATTTGATATTATTGATTTCGGAATTTAATAATAATATTCCAAGACGGTTTTTGTTTGAGTAAAATTTTATTGAGAAAATTCATACGTTTATTTTTCTGATACATTTTTCGTCATTATTTCAAATATTTTATATATCAAATTAGATATAAATTTATATATTTATTTCCGGTATTTTATGTAAAGTATTCACTGACAGTCTCGTGAATTGGTAGTAAACAATAGGTTTAAAAACGTTTCCTGTGTTCATGCATCTTTTATTTCCACTCGTTTTATTGGACGATAAAAATTTGCGACTTGCATAGATTTCATTCGCATTTTTTAAAACAGTTTGAAATCATTATTAATTAACCCTTTGCAGTCGGAGAATTTTCTCACGTCAGCTTACAAAAACTGAAACGTATTTATTCATAGAGCAAGGAAGATGTACTGGTTGTGACCACGTTAAGTATTCATATGCAAATATTCTTATTGTTTCGTATCACATGAGAAATGTGCAAGTTTTACTAGATTATTAATACTTGCAATAAAGTAACAAAATGATATATATATATATTACAGTACAAAAATCGTAAAATACACATTTTTCACCGTTTATAGCAACTTGTACACCCTTTGTAGGATATATAAATGATTAAGTGATTAAGCATAATTTGTGAAAAATTTCGCTTTTCTATATTTTACAATGTGGTATTTAAAAATCTTGCTGTTATAATAATGTATAAAAATAATATAAAAGTATTTTTATTTTACTTATTTCTTTTGAGTTCTCTTATATATTTTTCTTGTTTCTTTCATTCTTCGTATTTCTTTCTCTTCCAATTTCCTTCTTTTTGCTTCTGATTTGTTTTTCTTCATTTCTTCTACTTTCTCTTGTTTTATCGTTTCTGCTACAAATTTTATTTACATTGCATTTACATTTTCCACTAATTCCTTTTTTTTCTCTTTGAGGTTATGTTCTTTACTAAGACTACTTTTCGGTGTAGAATGAACAGGTTTTTTCATTAATTGTACTTATCTATAAGAAACAATACCGGGTGTCCCAAAATTGTCATAGAAGTGGGAAGTGAGTGGTTTCTGAGGTCATTTCAAGTAACTTTTTCCTTAGTAAAAATGCAACCCGCCAGCCGAGCTCGCCTCTCATTGGTCACTGTTTTTCGTTAATAACTCGTAAACAAAGCCGCGAATTGCATTTTCGCTAAGGAAGAAGTTACTTCAAATGACCTCAGGAACCCCCATTTTCAGATTCCGAGACATTTTTGGGATACACTGTATGTGTACTCTAACCTATTTCGAAAAACCAAACTACTTTGTTTATTTAAATGTTTCTTTCCTTTGAGAAAGCTTTGGCATCATAATGCAGTGTCTCGTACAAGAGTGATTATGGTCCCAGCACAGTTAAATACAAAATTAAAAAACCTGAACAAAACAGTGAATAAACAATCGTATATCGAACTATTAGGGTTGTTATTTTCCGGGTGTTAACATGATTATGGGACACCCAGTATTTAGTTCGAAGATCTGTTGATCGCTAAGAACTGTAGCCAACTTCGAATAAGAAAAGATGAATAATAATAAAGATGGCCAGAAATGATATGCACTGGGCACAACCAGCACATCTACCTTATAATCGCTTCAAATAACATAAAAAATGACATAACTTATAGTTACTCTATGTAATTACTCTATTTAACGAAAAGTCTGAATTGAAATTTTTAATTTTGAAGGTACCATAATTATCAGCATATTACTTTGCCTGAGCGTGATTATTTTTTAGGAAGGTGCGAGAATTAAAAAGTGACAAATGAAATATCATTTTCCACAGATTCTCCGTACAGGACACCAATAAGTGGCGCAATATTAGTGTTGCAAGAGAAAGGAATCCTGCAGGATTTGAAAACGAAATGGTGGGTGAAGCAAGGGGGTGGTTTGTGCGCGTCAGGCGATGCAGAAGNACTCGTAAACAAAGCCGCGAATTGCATTTTCGCTAAGGAAGAAGTTACTTCAAATGACCTCAGGAACCCCCATTTTCAGATTCCGAGACATTTTTGGGATACACTGTATGTGTACTCTAACCTATTTCGAAAAACCAAACTACTTTGTTTATTTAAATGTTTCTTTCCTTTGAGAAAGCTTTGGCATCATAATGCAGTGTCTCGTACAAGAGTGATTATGGTCCCAGCACAGTTAAATACAAAATTAAAAAACCTGAACAAAACAGTGAATAAACAATCGTATATCGAACTATTAGGGTTGTTATTTTCCGGGTGTTAACATGATTATGGGACACCCAGTATTTAGTTCGAAGATCTGTTGATCGCTAAGAACTGTAGCCAACTTCGAATAAGAAAAGATGAATAATAATAAAGATGGCCAGAAATGATATGCACTGGGCACAACCAGCACATCTACCTTATAATCGCTTCAAATAACATAAAAAATGACATAACTTATAGTTACTCTATGTAATTACTCTATTTAACGAAAAGTCTGAATTGAAATTTTTAATTTTGAAGGTACCATAATTATCAGCATATTACTTTGCCTGAGCGTGATTATTTTTTAGGAAGGTGCGAGAATTAAAAAGTGACAAATGAAATATCATTTTCCACAGATTCTCCGTACAGGACACCAATAAGTGGCGCAATATTAGTGTTGCAAGAGAAAGGAATCCTGCAGGATTTGAAAACGAAATGGTGGGTGAAGCAAGGGGGTGGTTTGTGCGCGTCAGGCGATGCAGAAGCGACAAGTTCAAGTGAATTAGGGTTAGCCAACGTTGGAGGCGTATTCTTGGTCCTTCTCATCGGATGCTGTGGGTCGTTTGTCCTCGCCATTTTCGAATTCCTTTGGAACGTGCGAAAGGTCGCCGTAGAAGAAAAGGTGAGCTGCCATTACTTATTCCAACGTAGAACTCTATCTCGCCTCGCAATCTCCCTGGATCGAGTGATGAATTTTCGTTCGTCGTTTATTCACCGGAAGATCGAGGAATCATTCTTTCGGGTATATACGGGTCATTCAATATTTAAATTCTTATTATTATTCTATACTTCAACCGTTCGATCGTTTAATATATCTTTTCATTTTTCGATAATGTTTCGCCATGAAAATAAAAATATTTAGGGGCTGCATACGCTTAACAAATTTAACAATAATTCTCTAAGACAAAATTTTTGTAATGACATGTTTGTTCGAGTACAATTTTATTTAGAAAATCAACTACTCTGTCGACAAAAAATTTCGTCACTCTTCCATTTCATGAAATATCTGTGTCGCAACTCTCTGACAATCAGTTTGGAACATTCTTCTCTTAATATCGAATATGTAATATTTATGGTAAAGTACAAACGTCTAGAGTGAAAAGCTTCCTTCGGCGAAACAAGCGAGAAACGCCCGAAGCTTTTTAACTGAGATGAACGGAGTGGTTCAAACACAACTGTTACAAGTCATGGTTCTTTTTTCCGTGCAATTAAAAACACGTCAAACATGAAAGGTGAATAGTTTCAAGAGTGCTACATCTGTGGAACCGAATATTTTTGTTAGCACAGCGATGCCTGCACCCGCGTTTAACGATTACTTTGTTCTTTTCAAAACAGAAACGTATAATATCTGCGTGTCTCGAAATTTCGTTTCGTTCGCCGTCGAAAAGCCCACAAAAACGAAACAATGGCAAAATAAAATTTCCCGTGAAAAGTTTTAAGCAGACATCGTTGCCGCAAGAGGGGACGTTTTTATACTACAAACGCTTTTTACAAATAATTATTGGAAAAGTTCAAAAGACGGTTCCAAACGATTTAACAGAGACACGGCCGCGGGCATGCATTTTTCTTTATGCGCGCAATGAAAAATGTCCATTTCTATGCATTGTGAACGTCACAATAACCGTAAACATTCGCTTGAATGGTCGGATAAGACTGAAGCACCAAGACACATACCGAAGGCATACCTTCACTTGAGAAAAATTATGGCTATTGTTCGCCGGCCTGCAGCAGACGTACACTATTCTTTTCTGAGACACAGAGTAAGATTGAATGCAGAGAGATTGCAAGAAATGCGTAATAAACTATGCGACAGGCAGTGTGCTCTCGTAAATAGACGCGTGTTTTGTTCCGTGATAGTGTCAGGCGTTCCGAAACTCGCATTCAAAAGACTGCAAAAATTACGGTCACACGTTTAGATTGATGCTCAAGTGGACAGCAATTTAACGGAATATGGTTTCGAAGCATTCATCCTGTCCAGCAAAAGAAAAGTCTCCTATAAAAGACAAAATTGAGTACACCTATTTTCGGACGAATGAATTGCATGAAAAGCAATAGATCAGATTTTCATAAATAAATGTTACAGCTAGATTGTGGATTCTGTACACTTACGAAAACGCGAATGCGGCAATCATAAAATCAGAAATGAATTCAGACACTGTTATTTTATTACTTACTTACTAAAATACTTCAGACTTGTATGGTATATATATATATATATTAAGTATTTTAGTATATATATATATATACTAAAATATAATTATATAGCATACATATATATATATATATATATATATATATATATATATAT